CCACCTTTCTGACATTGCTTAAATTTGATTTCAAAATGTGAGGTTAAAAATGGAAAAGTCAAGAACATTGATGTTGAATTTCGACCTAAGCATGCATTAGGAAAGAAATATTAATTATCTTGACAGTTTTCCTACAAAAATAATGATCATACACCATAATCCTTATTAAGTACCATCATTTAAAATTCAGCTCAAAGATGAACTAATGAGAAAAGTGTTGTTTACACTGTTTGCATGAAAAAGAAACTGACAGCTGTATTGTGAAAAAAAAATGAGAAAAAAAAATTCTACATTAAATATTTCCGATTAATTATCCTTCTAGAAGAAATAATTATTAATGTTGCCTAAGGTTTGGAGCCTGCTGTAAAAGACCTCTTTAAAATCTTAAAAATCGAGATGTCACTATGATGGATGACTAAGGTGTGTGTGACTGAGGTCACACACATGGTCTTTCCAGTCAACTCAGATGCAGGTAAAAGCTGGACCAGGTGAAAAAGAAAGAAGAAGAATGGGCACAACTGAACTGTGGTTTTGGTGGAAGATACTGAACGTACTACAGACTGCCTGCCAGAGGAATGAAAAAATCTATCTCAGAAGAAATACAGTCAGAAAGTCCCTTAGAAGCAAGGATGGTGAGGTTTCTTCTTACTTACTTTGGATATGTTATTATTGTTAGGTACCATCAAGTACAGAAGATTTCCAGAGGTTCAAGCCAGATTCAGAAGAGCATGGAACAAGGGATAGCCTTGCTGACGTCAGATGGATCTTGGCTAAAAGCAGAGAATCCCAGAAAGATGTTTACTTGTGCTCTATTGATTATGCAAAGGTTTCCGATTGTGTGGATCATAACAAGCTTTGGATCAACATTGCAGAGACTTAAGTATTTCAAAACACTTAATTGTGCTCTTGAGGAACCTGTACATAGACCAAGACTTGTTGTTTGAACAGAACAAGGGAACACTGAATGGTTTAAAATTAGATAAGGTGTGCATCAGGGTTGTATTCTTTCACCATACTTATTCAACCTGTATGCTGAGCAATAATTCAAGAAGCTGGGTTATATAAAGCAAAACGTGGCCATCTGGGTAGGAGGAAGACTCATTAACAACCTTGCTTGTGGAAAGCGAAGAGAAGGCAGTGCTTCTTTAGTCATATTTTGATTGCCTTCTAACGGGAGGGGCTCTATCTGTAATTGTTTAAAATGCTTTCAATGACAAGGTTTTCAGAAGTGGACTGGCTCTTCCTTTTCTCAGTCTGTTTTAATTTATAAACTTCCTTGAAATCACAGGGGCCCAGCTGGTATTTGAAATACCGGTGGCATAGCTTCTAGCATCCCAGCAACATGTAAGCCACAAACTAACAGATGTATGTTGTTGTTGTTACATACCATGGAGTTGGTTTCAACTCATAGTGACCCTGTACAGGGTTTCCGAGGCTATAAATCTTTACGGGAGCATAAAGCCTCATCTTTCTCCCGTGGAACAGCTGGTAGTTTCTAACTACTGACCTTGCGGTTTGCAGCCTGATTCGTAACCACTATGCTACCAGAGCTCCTTAGCAGATGTATGTTGGGGACATGTTATTAGGAGGGTCCAGTTCCTGGAGAAAGGCCCACAACAAGATGGATTCGACACAGCTACTACAACAATGGATTCCAACAATGTGAGGATGGCACAGAAATGGCATCTACGATGGGACTTCAGTAAGTGCTTAGAACAACTCCATTATCTTTTCATTCAATTTTTCCATCAACCTTTTGAAGCCCCCTCAGTTTAGGTGACTATGAGTTAAAACTGCCTCTACATCACATAGCAATTACCTTTAGAGAATTCAAACAAGTTACCTGAAGGTCTTTGATTAATGCTAACTCATGAAAGATTTTCACGTATACTAATTGCTCTAGGATAGATAAGCACTGGACTACTAACCACAGTATCAACCATTCAAACTCACCAGCCATTCCATTGCCTAAAAATGTGGCTTTCTACATGAGTAAAGGTTTATAGCATCAGGGGAAAGAAAAAAAAGGTGTTACAGGTTCGGAGACTCTATGCAGGGTGGCTATGAATCAAAACCGACTGGATGGCACTTAACAGTAATCATTGAAAACTAGAAAAATTACTTTAGGTTCTTCTGTTAAATCCAGTATTTAACTGATGCAAGAAGAATGGTATTGAAATTGTTTGCAGTGTGCTTTTCATCTGTTTTGCCACTATTTTATCAAATCGATTTGCTATTTTCTATCTACTTCTCTAACCGTTGTTGCTGTTCGGTTCAAACCTATCTTGTGGTTCTGTGCGTGTCTATAGCACCACACCAGGGCTCCACTTCTTTAATTACTTGAATCTTTTATGACAGTATGACAGACTAAAATTCAAAGATATAGTCTTAAAAGGTGTCTGGATTACATTATCTGCAAGTCATTTACATGTAGTGACATCAAATGGACAGTGTCCTTCAGGAAAAATGTCTTTGGAGAAAGCTCAAAATGAACTTTCTCATCTAGCTGCATATTTGAAATGCTAGCACAGTCTCTGAAAAAGTCCATTAAAGCATGAAAGTCACAAGTATCAACGATGTGTGTATAATGCAATGAATCTTTAGAAATCAAGATCACATCATGAGCTTAAGGTATATTTGAGCACTATGAATATTTTGAGAGCATTTCAACATTCCAAAACATTGTCTTTAAGTGCAGGAATTCTTCAGATACAGAAAATTCTGCTGAAATTCTGAACATGAATTTTGTTATTTATAGAAATACTAAAAATGTTAATGGAATTAAGAATACGTTTATTACACGGTTTTAAAATTTTAGGCAATGAAAGGCCTGATACAAACTTAAAACTTGTTACTAATTTTCAGACACTTGATAATGGACCTTTGCAACAACTGTAATGCTAGGGCATTTAAATCAAGCCAGTTACCTGTAAGGTGAATCAGACGCATAGCAACCTCAGAGTAACAGACAACTGGGCTCTCTAGGGTTTTCAAGGGCATATTTTTTTTCTAAGTAGATAGTCAAGCCTTTCCTGCAAGGAACCTGTGAGTGAACTTGAACCTCTCACCTTTCAGTTAGCAACTGAACATGCTAACCATTTACACTATCGAAAGACTCTGAGAAAGCAATTGAATTCCATGATAGGAATTCCTATTAGAAGCAATTTCCAGAATTCTTTTCAATTCCACCTGGAATCTAAAATGCAGGTTTATTTGGGGGAATTTTGTTAATGTGTGAGAAATGTGAATATAAACTGCAGCAGGCACCTAGAGCATTGGCTCTGCTGAGGTCAGAGTGTACCCTAGAGACTTGGGAACACAGTTAGGGGATACAGGTGGCTCGCCAAGTCCCAGACAGGAAACAGGGGCCAGCCAAGTCCCAGGATTCCAAATTCCTCAGAATACATCCTCCATGCTGTTCTCTTATCATTATACCATTCAATCTTTACTAAGTTTCCTACTAAATGATCCTTCACAGCTCAGCATAAAGCCCTATCCCTTAACCAAGCAGCCATAATGCTTAGCTAACAGTGCCAAAAGCTGCAGTGGTAAACGGGGCCAATGTTGTCCCTTGCCATTTTCTGAAGGAGTACGGAGTTGGGAAGGAATCATCTATAAATGACTTAAGTAATTTAAAAGTCTGAATCAGGTTTTTCAGCAGCAAATCCAGGCTCCTCTTGTGGCGTCTGCTGCACAGAGCTTTTGTTGGGAGCGGGAGAGACAAGAGTTCACGATCAGAAGAATGAAGTCTAGGAAACAGGTTGTCAGGAACCTCATCCAAGCCAAGCCCATAGGAAGGTTGTTTATAACTTACTTTACCTTTACCCAACATTTTCATGCCCACATTTGGGAATTTGGCCTATTTTGGATTACCTACTATAGTTACTTACAGAAGATACACAGTCTTCTAGAGTAAATTGTTAAGTGCTGTCGAGTCGGTTCCGACCCACAGTGACCTGTGTAGTGTTCCCACAGAGCAGCTGGTGAGTTTGAACCATGACCTCATGGTTCAAATCAACTTTGCAGTCCAGGGCATTAGCCCATAGCGCCACACCAGAACTAGTAAATTAGTAACTCTAAAATGACTCCTTGTAAATGAGAAAAAATGTGCTCTCATGTGAACGGATTTCAGTTAGTTTCATGCCACTAAAGCCCCCACAAAGGAGCTCTCGTAGCATAGTGGTTACGAGTTAAGCTGCTAACCTCAGCATCAGTAGTTCAAAACTATCAGCTGTTCTGCTGGAGAAAGATGAGGCTTTCTGCTCCTGTAAGGATTTACAGCCTCGGAAGCCCTGAATAGGGTTGCTATGAGTCGGAACTGACTCCACAGCACATAACAACAAAACTCCCACTGCACAAAAGTCAGGCAGGGTGCGGGTGTAGAAAAAACATGCTCTGGAGATACTTTCTGATCACTAGGGGGCGTAAAGAAGGCACGACTAGAACCAAGTCAGTAAACAATGTTTTACTGAAACATTTCATAACACAGAAAATCTGACTGTAAAGTTACTGCCTTACACAAGAAGGACAGACCCATTTTAAAGACTAATATGAATACAATAAATATGGAGTTTACATACGAATTTGTACACAGAACCTCTGCCCCACAACCATAAAAATGTACATTTAACAGTGCAACATATAATTTAATCATTTGATTTATTTGACAGGGTATTTTCTTACTAAACACAAATAACTACCTGGTTTTAATATACATATATAACATATACTTTATGTATATAGATATTCAACAATCTGTACAGTTTCTAAACATAAAACTCCTAAAAGGCACAATTGTCTATACAACATGTACAAAAATGGCTGGAGCAGACACAAAACAATTATTGGTCAAAAGTTCATGATTGCACAAAGATTAGTCGTGAGTTTATGTCAGAAAAATGTGCTTTAAGGAAAGGGGGTGGGGTTTCCAAAAAAAACAAAAAACAAAAAACAAGCTGTTGAAGTGTTCTATTAAAAAACCAAACCAACCCTAACCACCACTATGTGGCTATGACAAGCCGGCCCTCGTCGTCGTCGCTGCTGGCATCACTGAAGTGCACCGGGGCCTGCCTGCGGGGCGGGCCTGGGGGCCTGCGGGCCCGTCTGTGTGTGGGGAGGGTCTGGGGGCCCGCTGCTTTGGGGGGCCCTTCCACGTGCACTTCCAGCAGAGGCTCCGATGGGGATGTTGGCTTAGCCCGCACGGTGGGGAGTTCCTGCTTTGGCGTCACATGATTGACTGAGACCCCCTTCTCGGGGCACACTTCACTTGCAGGGGCAGGTTGATGGAGTAATTTTTTTGCATCTTCCCGCTGGACTTTAGGTGACCCCTGAGGAGATTCGGCCCTGCTGGCCTGAATTGCACTGGCTGCTGGAGTCAGCTTGGGTTGCGTTTCACGGGCTTGGTTCTGGGACGTTGGTCCATCTGGAGTTCCCTGGGTGTCAACAGTCACTTGACCCACCGAGGAAATCAGAGTAGGCAACGCTATGTTCACGATCTGCAGACTTGGAATGTGTGGCTGAGGGCTGGGGCTGCTCTGTGAGGAAGAGTTTGCAGTTAAAACCTGCAGGCCGACAGCGTTGAGGGCGAGTCCCGGCGGGTGCACTTGCGGGGCGATGTTGGTGTTGGCTAGGCCTAAGATATTGACGGTTTCCATGCTGAGTGACGGCAGTGATGGCAAGCTTGGTGGGCTGAGGTTCTGAAGGCCTGGCACCTGGATTTGGCCGATGGGAATACAGGGCACCACACTGCTGAGCTCAGCCACGCCCGTGGGATTTGTAGTGCTAGAAACTTCTGTGATCGTATCCTCGGGGGTGCCCACAGTTCGGTGGATTACACTGAGGGCAGGAATCGTGAGCTGCATTGGCCCTGCTTGAATTGGGACCAATGCAGAGTAGGTGAGGCCAGCAGGGACCACATGAATGCCCCCAACCGGAACCATATTATAAGGTGTCCTTGACTGCTGCTGGGAATGCAAAGGAAGGTGGCTAAACAAATGAGTCTGGGGAGAGGGCAAGCCTGCAGCTGGGTGTAGACTTATTTGTTGCTTCTGTTCTTGAGTGTCAGGATGAGGCAAGGCCACTGAAGGGACCACCATGGCTGTCTGAGGGCTGGGCTCAGTTGCAGGAGGTGGAAGTCTCACAGATGATGTGTCCTGAAGGATGAGAGAGAGCAAAGCTTTGATCACAGAGCTTCTTACACACTAAGCTGTTGCTATTAGCTGTCAGTGAGTTGGCCTGCTACTCAAGGAAACCCAAGCACATAGGAAGCAAACGCTGCCCTGTTCTACAGCATGCCCATGATCTGTTGCAGATGGGACCACTGGCATCAACAGGCTTTTCATTGGCTGATTTCCAAAGGAGAATGCCAGGCCTTTCTAAGCTTAGCATTCTGCTTAGCTATCTGTCTTAGTCTGAAAGCTCCACTGAAACCTGTCCAACGTCATTGCAACATGCCAAGGCTCCACTGACAGATGGGCGTGGGCTGCGCATGCGGAGCTTGGCCGGGAGCTGAACTTGGGTCTTCCGCATGGAAAGTGAACACTCTACCACTCTTGCCACCACTCTTCCACTTAAAAAGGGACTCAGACTTCTACAAATAAACTTTTATCTGTTGTATCTTAAATCCTTTTTTTTTTAGTATACACTAATTATGCTTGCATTTTCTCCAAACACATTTCTTGGACATCATCTAATTTTATACTGAGCATAACCCTGAAAGGTGGCCACAGTTATATTTTTATGTTGTCATTATTAGTGCGGTTGGGACCATTACCATTTAGAGATTAGGAGTCACTGAGAAATTCAGGTCTTACTTGACTCTGAGTATCAACTCGAGGGAAACAGTAACTGAAGGAGTTCTCCTTTACATAACAGTTGAGAAAAAGATTTGTAGGTGTTCATTTATTTACCCCTTCAGTCAGTCAAGAAGTTTTTGAAATGTCTCTTAACAACTATACTTGGATTTTAGCACTGGTAGGAAACAGAGAGATTTTTGAAAAGAGGAATATGGGTGACCAGTAATTAAAATATTATTAGAAAGAAAATAACTTGTCCATCCTCCCCTACCCTCCTGGATTAGCTACATTTTAGCTTAGTTTAACATATCTGAGCGATACGTTAATTAAGAGTAGATGTGTTGATGTTGTTGGCAGGTGCCATCGAGTCAGTTCTGACTCAGAGAAACTCTTAACGAGAAACAGAACACAACAGTGCTTGGTTCTGCACATACCATCCTCACAATCGTAATTTGCAAAAATCCAAGCTTTTATAGTTTTCTTATTTTTCTTCAGTGTTGCCTACAAACCAAAACATGGTAGAAATAAATCCAACGGCAATACTCAGTATGTACTCAAAGTAAGAGAACTATCCATGATGGAGTGCATTTCTCCCAGAATGCATTGTTCTTCCTGAGACAGCAGGAGTGAGTGTAGGGCTCCTTCCAGAAGGCACCAGTGCCTTCTGGGAGTCTGGGTCTGGTGGGCAGAATGCTCCCCAAGCTGTTGCAGCTATGTGATCACTTCAAAGTCAACTTCTTGATATTACGTCACATTAACCTTGCCACAGAAACTAGAAACTGTCTTGCCAATAGAGGCAAAGTATATGTTTGGCTCTTTTAATGCAAATTCATCATATCAACACTGGTGGAAAAACAACTCACAGTAACCCATGGGATAAAGAAGTTCCAGGATTCATGTTCTTAACAGTTACAAAGACATTTTTTTTCACTTTTAAATTTAAAAAAGAAAGAAAATAAATGTGCTTTCTTTTTCGAGAACCACTTGTTTGTTTTTTCATGGATTTGTAGTATGTGAACTCTGACAAATATGCCTAAATAAGAAACCAAAGGATATTAATGTCCTTTGCTTGTAAACAATAAAAAATATTTTTATAGTTATATAAACTGATGTGGCCACCAATTATTAGTTTGTGAAGCTCACTATTTTTAAGCCATTGTCATTGTTAGCTGTTACTGCATCAGCCTCCTCCTCCCCCGCCCATGCACCACCCACATGCTGTGACCCACAGTGTTCTCACTGGCTGACTTTTGGACGCACACTGCCAGGTCTTTCTAGTCTGGAAGCTCTCCATACCCACAGGCCTCGACTGACAGGTTTTGTTGGTGGCAGTACATGATGTGTTATGACTGGGAATTAAGCCTGGTTCCGACTCACAGCCACCCTGTGCAGGGTTTCCTAGGAGCAGCTAGTGGGTTTGAACCGCCAACCATATGGGCTGCAGTCCAGTGCTGATCCTGCAGCGCCACACTAGGGAACTGGTTCACCTGCAGGGAAGGTGAGTAATCTACCACTGAGCCACTGCTGTCCTCTCCTAAGGCACCAGGTCCCCCACATTTCACAGGTTACAAGAAAAGCAAAGTCACCAACTAAAAGATGATTTACCTGGGTTAAAGCACCAGCCTTTCCTGCCACAGAGCTACTCAGGGTGGCTTCTGGCTCAGCGTAGTCAACAGACATCTGACGACATGGGGATCTGCGTGCAGCTCCGGGGGACCCAGAAGCGTCCACCCCAGTGACGGACTCATCTTCATCTTGTGACACGTGCTGCCGGGTTTTCCCAGGAGCCCTAGCTTTCTGGCCACAGTCCGACTGCACGGTACTAAGTACTGTCATCTTGGTGAGCAGAGCTCTCGGCAGAACGTCCATCGGATCCGCATGTGCTCCAGAGAAGCCATCGGGGACCCTGGTCTCCTCATCAGTGCTCACGGACGGCAGGTGCTGTGGGCTGGTTGCAACAGAAGGGGCTGCGGACAGGACGGAGTCCGTCTGGCTGTCCTCATCGTCCTCTTCGTTCTCATTGTCGTCCTCATCAGCGCCATCCGAGTCGTCAATATCATACCCAGACCGCTCATAACTGAAACGCTGCTTCTCGTCTGCTGAAAGAGAGCCAAGAGGGTATGTTATTGAATGGTTTGCAACAGGGGCCAAAAGCCAATTCTTGATTACCTACTAGCTTTGGAACACTGTGAAGAATATG